ATTTTTTTTCTATTTTATCCAAAAGGTTAATATGGAAAAGCTAAGACTTTTACTAAGGAGAGCTAAAGGAATGGTTTTTATAAACTTTATTTATCACGAGGTAAAAGCACGGAAAACATGTTGCGGGTACTTTCAGTTTTATGTTTTTTTAGAGTGGTTTGCGGTGGTTCTGTCAAGATTTATTAAGACTCAAAAATCTGTCGAGAAATTTGCCTCACGTAGAGAACGTTTTTACTACATGGGGATCCTTTGAGAGAAATTCCTGGAGGCTTTACAATCGGGGAAAAAGAAATGGGTTCTCGCCTCGTAAGGGCTCGAAAGGTCCGAATCCTGTTGCCAATCGCAACAGGAGAATTCGAAACGAGTATCGGTCCCAGGACGAATAGGTAGACATCATGCTCGATATCGTTCTCGATATCGTTCTCTCTTTCGTTTCTCTGTGCGAACCACAACATTCGCTTTTGAAATATTCTGCCAATAAGACTTCAAGACTTCAATAAAATAAAATTACAATGAAACGCACACGCATACATACATGCACAAATGTTAAATAATAAAGTTAATAATAAAATTAATGATAAAACTATGATATTTTTTACTGTTATTATTTAAAAAAAGAAAAATGAACTTTTGGAAAAGATATATATATATGTATATAGACAAAATATATTGCAAAACTTTAAAATTGTATTAAAAATAAATTAGCAGTCAACTTCTGCGCACAGTTGTAAGTTGTAAACGCAGCGCAAATGCTGGAATTGTCCGTTATGCTCCTTCGATAGGCCGTGATCGTATAAAGATCGAATTACGATCTTGGGATCGAGCCATGATCGATTTGCCGAGTGCGGGTGCGATAGCTGCCTTCCGGTTTATTAACTTCCTATCTGGCCGCAACAAGGACGACGCTACGGCATCCTTCCTGGTTGTAGGGGCCAGCTTTCGGGACGGGATGGGCTATTGATATGCGGTACGCGTGGCCGCCATCGAAACGCTTTTTCCAGACGCAGGAAACGGGAGAACGCGATTCAACGGGTGCGATTATGGTCGATTGATTCGCAACGCTGCACTGGCTATCCAGCGTTTCGGCCCGATTCGAATCGGCGAAAGCGAACAGAATGCGCCAATGGAACCATGCACGGTAATAGGTCTTCTCGGGCCAATGACTTTTTTGTTCTCAAACTTTGATTTCTTAATAGCATAAAAGTTATTTAATCAGAGATTACTTGACGTGAACTGTGTTCACTCACACACATTTTGCACTTTTACTGTATCGTATTTATTTTACTTATCACACATGCGAGCATATATACATTCCACTTAACGTTTTCCAACTTGACTTGCCTCAGAAATCTTAAATGTCCAAATCTAATTTGGATTTGCATTTAACGTAAATGCAAATAGACAAGTTTTGTACGGTATATAGCAGCTGCTATAATAGCCGTGTTAGACAAACCTACGTGAAAGCTCAATCAAAAGCTCACCGATCTCTCCTCGTCACATCATTTCACGACACTGTGCTTGCTGCCGACTCGCAAGCGGTATACAATACCATTCAATCCCGTCGTGAATTCTGTCTTGTCAAAGGCCAACGCTTCGCGATTAACAGCTCGCTCGGCGAATGAAAATTAGCAGCCTTTGCTCAAATTAACGACGACAGGCAAGACTTGATTAATTCCGACGCCACTTCCTCACGCGATGAATGCGTGGCGGATTAAGAGCTGTTGCATGCCTGGGAGGACACAATTTCGACGCAGCAGTTATGGCATGGGATTTG